GGCATAACTGCCCGATAATTTAACAACTGATACGAAGTTGCCGCCGTTCTTCGACTGCAATCCAACGTGTATCTTCATAGTGTGAGAAGAATTAAATCCATACGTCGTCGATAACAATAAATAACGTTGTTTGTGTCTTCTGGCGTTATCGATGTCGATGGTGCCGTTATCCGTCTTGCGAAAATCGCTATTGCGCTCGGATTTCGAAAATTAATTACTTCCTTGCGAGTGGTCATTGTTTTCACTTGTAAAATTACACAAATAGTCAAAACTGGGCAAAATAGCGAAACCGCGTGGAATTCTTTCTTCGTACCTCAAACTTGTATTTCTGTAAACTCGAGCTCGAACGAATGCAGAAGAGCGACTTGTCGACACGCTTATATTAACATTCTCTCTTCCTTGCAAAAATTAAAAAAATAAAAGTTGGGCAAGACGTATTTTATACATGAAAAATCATAATTTTTCATGTTCAGATCTGTCCGTGTTAAATAAAAAAGCTTCTAAAAATATTTAGAAATTTCTAGAAATAAGATAATGTAACGCGAGAAGAGGTCGAAAGAAAAATCTGTATATATAAGTGAATAAACAAAAAAAAATCAATTTTTTATGTCAAATCGAAGGCTTATGTTTAAACAAATACGTATTAAACAAAAAGAAAACGCTCGGGAGATTATATTTAATTTGAAAATGTTTTTGTTTTTTCAAAATATAGTAAAGATTTACGGGTTCGAGAACGCCGTAATACAATGAAGATTGATGTAAAAAACTACCTGTAATAAAGAAGCAAAATAAATACTTCAAGACAAAAAAAAGGTCGGCTATTTAGTCCGCGCAACATTATATGATGGGATAAAAAAGGCAAATCTTTATTCTTTATAGCTATTTTTTTGTATCCCGTAAAATAAAAATAAATTATATTTTATGGTTTTATGACTGCAAGGAAAATAGTTGTAAAACTTAACACCATCTGGAATGTTCGTCAGAAGGAAAATCGACGTTTGCCAATGAAATAACTAAAAATTTTTCTGCCACGCCTAGTTGTTAAGAAAAACACAATCCGAAGGTAAGTAAAAAGAATTAAGAAATATCTAGTTTTTAAGAAAAGCATCATCCAATAGACGAGTAAAATAGATTAAGTATGCTCTATGTCCCCCATTTTCGCGAACGAAAGAAGCGCTAGCAAAAAATTTAAAATTTTTTTTGATCCTCCTGCTCTTTCAAAATGTGCATTTTAAGTTCGACATTGTCCGAGATACTCAGTTTCTCGAACGTACGCGTTTTATTCATATCGTGTGTCATTGCCACATTTTGTCAGTTGCGTTAAGTGCAAACGTTAAGTGCGAGTAAAACAAAATGGCAGCTCAAAAAATGTTAATATCGGAATGTGTAACTTTGGCTGCGAATTTAGCGCCGACGATAAATGCCGAATCGTATTTATCTCAGCTGACGGAAGAACCAAGTAATAATTATAATATTTTTGCGAAATTCGCGTGTTCGACCTCCAACTCTTTACTCGGAGTTCTGTATAGATTGGGGCATTTCGGCGGCGATAAAGAATTATTAAACGTCGCCGCTGAAATAATATCGATGCGTGAGGCTTTTCAGCACGAAGAAGAGGATGTGGGTGGTGGATGCGCTGCCTATCTATTAACAAACCATCGAAGAATGGAGTTAAGACGTAATTATTTTATTTCATATACTTTTGATGGGACCGTGATTAAATAATAAATTTAAATCGTTATTAATAATTCGAACAACACTCCTGTAAATCTAGCGGTAATACGTCCCACCTGAAAGCGACGAGCGGAAGAAGAGCGTGAGGCAGGACCTTTGCGTAAGTTTACGCGCGTTAAAAATATATGATAATTATTCGTAAAAATATATATAACAGTTACTGATAAAAATTAAATATTTTAGGAAGAGCCTGAATACATGAAAATCCGGTTTCGATTGCTGTTGCCGATATAGCTAGTAAGTTAACATTTTATAAAAATAATAAAATATTTTAGAAGGAAATATAAAAAAATATAGTAAGACTCTTAATGTATAAATGTATAAATGTATTGTGGCGATTACATCGTCACATACTTCCCGAAAAGTAACGAACGAAAATACTTATACGAATACGGCCACACACATGCGAAAAGTACCGAGACACAAATAAATATAAATAAAAACATAACAGACAAGACAGAGAGAGACAAAAGACGAGTAGCACAGAGACAAATATTAAGACGTTAAGAGACAAAGGAAATAAACGAACAGAAAATTCTCAAAGCCTCTCGAAGCCTATCGAATGTCGATTTTTGAGGCGAAAGATATGAGGAGCGATCTTGCGTGCGAGAAATTCGGTTATCGACTGTCACCGCGTACGGACGTATATTGTAAATGCGAGCGATCTAATATTCTTGTACAGACTTTTAAGGACTTTGCTTTAATAGAAAATATATTCTCAGTTACACATAATTAATTCCTTCATTATTTTAATTCCTCGCATCGCACCGATTAACAATCACACCGCGGCAACTAAAGTGGTGACCCCGACGTGATCGCGCGGATTATCGAGTGCAGTGGTGTGCAATGGTGGTGACACGGGACGAGGAACTGAGCGCTCCGCTGACGGAGCTGGAAGCACGAGTGCTTGAGCAGCCGCGACTCCACGGGATGCCGTTGAATCTGCTCGGGATGCAACCGGCGAGATTTGAACAGCCGCCAGGTTATTTTTTACCCGTCCCTGAGGTGAGCCGCGTGGGCATGCGGATGCCGGAATTCATGCCGTCGGACCCTGAACTCTGGTTCAGCATCGTCGACCGGAGTTTCCAAGCCGCCGGAATCACGGTCGACGCGACGAAGTTTGGCTACGCGCTGACAGCCATCAGGCCGCGCTATACGGTCGAAATGCACGACGTAATAATGAATCCGCCCGCGGAACGCGCATACGAAACACTAAAATCGGAGCTAATCAAACGGCTCAGTTTATCGTAGGAGCATAAGACTCGGAGACACCTCGAGCACGAAGAGATCGAAAGCCGTCGCAGTTTTTGCGGCACCTGGGCGGCCTCGCCGGAAGTGGGCGACCAGGTTTTGCGGACGATTTGGCTGAGTCGGCTGCCGGCTTACATTCAGCCGCATTTAGTAACGCGAACGGAGGACACGCCAGAACAGTTGGTGGATATCGCGGACGCGATAGTCGAGGCGACCCGGGCGCCGGTGTTCCACGTGGCGGAGGCGGCGAGAATCGTGGCGCCTCAGGGTAAGAGCGCGTGTGATCCCGCGTCTCTGGAAGCGAGATTCGAGGTGCGGCTGGCGCAGATGCGGCTGACGATGCAGCAAGAAATCGCGGAGCAGATGACGACGATTCGCAAATCGATTGAGGCGATCGGCAGTGAGCGCTACCGAGGAGGTCGCGATAATGACCGACGTCGTCCGCGTTCGCGTTCGCGTTCGCACCCGCGCGCGCGATTGGAAGGTCGCGATTCGCCGGCCAGCGGAATGTGCTGGTACACTGGCAATTTGGGACGAACGCCAGAGAGTGTAGAGCAGTTCGATGCAGCAGAAAAACGCGGGGGCCGGTCGCTAGTGGCGGCGAGCGACTCAGGCCACGGTACGCGACGCCTATTCGTGACCGACGCGAGGACAAAAGTAACGTTTTTAATTGACACGGGTGCGGATCTCTGCGTGTATCCTCGGAAGATGGTTCGAGGCCCACGACAGAGACCAACCTATGAACTTTCGGCCACCAACGGTACACCGATTTTTAAATACGGGACAGAAACATTGCAATTAAATTTCGGATTGCGACGGGCGTTTTCGTGGCGGTTCGTGGTCGCGGACGTCTCGAGGCCGATCATCGGCGCCGATTTTCTCGTGTATTACGGGCTGCTGGTGGACTTACGCGGATCGCGTCTGATCGATCAAGTGACGAGCTTAACCGCGCGTGGACGTTGCATCTGATGTGATGCACCCAGCGTAAAGACGATCACGGGAGAGACGCAGTATCACCGATTGTTGGAGCAGTACGCGGACATCGCGAGGCCGGACGGGCGTCCGGGAGGCGCAATCAATCCCATGCGGCATTATATAGAAATGACATCGGGACCACCCGTCGCATGTAGACCGCGGAGACTCGCTCCGGACTGATTGGCGGCGGCAAAAAGAGAATTCCGCAAGATGGTGGAAGCCGGGGTCGCGCGACCTTCGAACAGTTGTTGGTCGGCTCCCCTGCACATGGTGCCAAAGAAAGGCGAAAAATGGCGGCTCTGCGGAGACTACTGGGCGTTAAACGCACGAACGATCCCGGATCGCTACCCGGTGCGACACATACAGGATTTCGCGCAGACTCTTGCCGGAAGGACAATTTTCACGACGTTGGATTTGGTACGCGCATATCACCAGATTCCGGTTGCGGAGAAAGACGTGCCGAAGACGGTGATCACCACGCCGTTCGGCATGTACGAATTTCCGTACATGTCGTTCGAATTGCGTAACGCGGCACAGACATTCCAGCGCTTTATAGACGAGGTTCTGCACGATTTTGAGTTCTGTTACGCGTATATCGATGACATCCTCGTCGCGTCATCATCAGAAGAAGAACATCGCGAACACCTGCGAATGTTGTTCGAGCGCCTATGAGAGTACGGGGTCATAATCAACCTCGCGAAATGCATATTCGGTCAGAGTAACGTGGAATTCCTCGGATACGAGGTCTCCGAAGGAGGAACTCGCCCGCTGCCGGCGCGGGTGGAGGCGATACTGGCGATGCAGTCGCCGAGGACGGCGAAGGAACTCCGGAGATATTTAGGCATGGTAAATTTTTATAGAAGGTTTGTTATGTCTTGAGGTGGCGGGTAAGACTATACACCGTTACACGCCGATACATCGACTTGTTTTGGTGACAGCTCAGCGGCAACTGCCTTATACTGGTTATTCGAGGTGTAGGATAACAACAACGTCGATCACCTTGTCGACCTACCTATCGATATATTACAATTTCCTCCCTTTTACGACGTGTTTACTTTTCCTTTTAATCTCGCAGAACGACGCACGCACATCTGTTGTTTGGCTGCCGCCCTTCCTGCATCGGTTCCATCTATTAATTCGTCGGTTCCCCTAATTTTAATTATTTGGTCTACGTGTCTCTTCCACGTACAGTTAGGAGAAATTTCGACCTCAAAAGTTACAGGCGATAACTGCTTTATTATTTTTCCCCGACTGCGTTTCTTATTTTGGACACTAAAATCATCAACCATTACTTCTTCACCGATTTGAAATGTGACGTTACGATGCCCCTTGCGAGCCGCTATTTGAGCAATGTGCTTATTCTCGATGTTGTCGGTCGCGTCCGGTTTAAGTAAATCGAATCTCGTCCTTAGCTCTCGTTTATACATCATCCACGCCGGAGTTCTACCTGTCGTACAATGTTCAGTTGACCGGTAGTCAAATAAAAATAGATTTATCGCGTGCTCAAGTGTTTTACCACTCTTAACCATTTTTTCGACCTTATTTTTAAATGTTCCAACAAAATTTTCCGCCGTCCCATTCGTAGCAGGGTGATGAGGTGCTGAACAACTTTGTTTAATACCGTTTTTCCTCATAAATTCTCTAAATTCAACGCTCGTGAATTGGGTCCCGTTGTCGGTAACTAAATGTCTCGGTAGTCCAAATCTACCTAATACCTTCTTAAATTCCGCCAGCACCTTCGGTACCTGAGTACAATTGTTCATGTCGACAATCTCTGGCCACTTTGAATGCGCGTCTATTATAAGCATAAACATATGCCCGTGAAACGGACCTAGAAAATCGCAATGAATCCTACTCCAGGCTTTATCCGGCCACGGCCAAGGTGTTAACGGTACATTCGCAGGTTTCTTTCGTTCTTGCGCGCAAACCGAACATGCCGCCGTTACTAATTCTATATCTCTGTCAATGTTCGGCCACCACATATATGACCTCGCTAACATTTTCATTTTCACAGTCCCGAAATGAGACGCGTGTAACTCTCGCAACACACTCTCTCTCATTTTTTCTGGAATGACTACTCTGTATCCCCACATTATACAACCCTTTTCTATTATTAATTCATCTCGTTTCGTAAAATACCTTTCTTCGCTTTCATTTAGTTCTTTCGGCCACATATCATTTATATATTTACTAATCTGACTTAACGTCTTATCGCGCTTTGTTTCTCTCGCAATCTCCACCGCATTTAGTGTTTCGATATTTTCTTGCACATAATTTATCGCTGTGTATTCATTTTCGAACACTGGCATTACATCGCTTATCGGAAGCCTCGATAGTGCATCACAATTACCGTTTTGTTCTGATCGGATATATTCTACCTTGTAAGAAAATCTTGATAAGAAGTAAGCCCCTCTGCAATCTACTTGCTACTGTTAATGGAATTTCCTGCTTCGGGCCGAAAATATATACTAAGGGCTTGTGATCGGTTCTCAAAACGATATGTTTCCCGTATATATATAATTGTAAAATTTTTTGAAACCAAATATAATTGCACTTGCTTCCTTATCAATCGGTGCTCGATGTAATTCCCCGTCCGGAATGACCTTGGACGCGTAAGCTATCGGTTTTTCAATACCGTCGGCGTATTTATGTGATAGTATCGCTGATAATCCGTACGCCGAGGCGTCGCACGCTAAGATAATCTCTTCTTTCGGATCATAATGCGCTAACACTTTTGACGATGTTAGTTCAGTTTTTACCCATTCAAAGGCTTTATCGCAACTTTTGGTCCATTCAAACTTACTTCTCTTAACACACTCGTATAGCGGTTTTAGCATTTCCGCCCTGTCCGGCAGAAATCTCGCATAATACGTAACTAACCCTATAAAAGACTGTAACTGTTTAAGGTTTTGCGGCTTCGGTGCCTCACTCATCGCTTTTACTTTAGTTATGGATTTATGCAAGCCGTTCCTGTCGATTACGAATCCGAGAATGTCTAGTTTTTCTTTAAAGAAGTCGCATTTCTTAATATTTACTTTAAACCCACAACTTCCCAGACGATCAAATACTTCCTTTAATGTTTGGAGATGCTCTTCGTCAGTTTCCCCGGTGCAGAATATATTATCTAAATATGGGATTGCGCCCCTTACACCCGCCAAACACTGCTCGATTTTCCGTTGAAAATCTCCCGGCCCCGATGCTATACCTTCAGTCAGTTTCGTGTACCTATATAGTCCTTTGTGCGTTATTATCGCCAAATAGTTCCGAGAACTCTCTTCTACTGGAATTTGCATATACGCGTGTGTCAAGTCTATTTGCGAATACGTTTTTCCATTTCTTAACGCGGCGAAAATCTCATCTATTAACGGCAAAGGATGGCGATCTATAATCAGCCATGGATTTATTGTTAATTTAAAGTTTCCGCAGATCCTGACCGATCCGTCATTTTTTATTACTGGCACTATAGGAGTTGCCCATTCGCTAACTTCAATTTTTTCCAGATGCCCTAGGTTAAATAATCTATTAATTTCTGTTTCGACTTTTATATTTAGCGCGAATGGTAATCTCCGTGCTTTCAATGCTACCGGCTTCGCACCTTCTTTTAATACTAATTTCAGCATACCTTTATTATATACTCCGAGTCCCGGACCAAACAACGTGGGATGCTGCCTTACAAACTCATTTCTTACGTTCGCTACATCCATCTTATGTATTACTCTTTCGCTAACTAACTTGCTCTTAATCGCTAGCGGCCATAACCCGAGGAGTTTTAACCATTGCCTGCCTATTAGCGTCGGCCCCGCTCGCGACATTACTATCATATTTGCTTTAACTTCTTTTTTGCCTAACTTCACGACAAGATCCTGTAATATTCCTTCGTGACTTAAAGGTGTTTGACCGTATGCATTCAACGTTTTACTTAACTTTTTCACCTCTAGTGTCGGAAGTAATTTATTTTTATTTTCCCTCGATATTATCGACGCGTACGTACCCGTATCGATCTCTATATTTACGCTTTTTCCGTTTATCGCGACGTTTACATACATAGGTTCCGCTATGACCTTGTCCCCGCTTGATTCTATGGTACCGCATGTTGATTCCTCGCTGTTCCCTCCTAGCTCGAGGTTAAGAAAGTCGTATGTCCCTTCGTCCTTCTCTGCTTCTACGTCAACATGTTGGACGTCTTCCTTCTTTCTTCGGCACTGCGTGGCTAAATGACCCTTCTTATTGCAGCTTGTACACGTTTTATGGCGATGGAAACAGTCCCGCGCCCAGTGGTTCGCCTTCCCACAGCAGTAACAATTTCTGCTGCTTGTTGAGCTTTGTGATGATGGGCCTGTGTTTCCATTCGCGTGTTTTGCCTTTCCGTGACCTTGTTTACCACGATAATTATTTCGCAGCTTCCCGTAATTCCGATTTGGTTTGGCAACTGTGCAAATCGTATTAACATTTGTTTGCGCTGCCGTAGCTGTATTAAGTTTATCCGTGGACGTGGCATTCCTCTCGGCTTCCTCCGCTGCCGTTGCTATTTTATACACCTTGTCGTATGTTAAGCCTTCTTCTCGAAACAACAGTATCTTTGTAGCATGGTCTTTTATTCCACATACCAGTTGATCTCGTAGAGCTGTTGCCGCATCTTTGAATCCACAGTTTATTGACAATCTTTTTAGTCTCGCCGCGAATTCTGCGATTGATTCCGTCGCCGCTTGTTGCGCTTGGTGGAACTTACATCGTTCCATCGCTTCCGATGGTTTCGGGCATAAATGGTTTGACATCAACTTTATTAACTGCTCATACGTTTTTGTTATAGGCTTATCTGGTGCACACAGATCTCTTATCAATTTATATGCTTCCGCACTTATTTTAGTTAATAACACTGGCACCTTCTTAGCGTTTTCCACGTCGTTCGCCAAGAAATACAATTCTAAGCGTTCGGTATACGTTTCCCAATCGTCCTTGCCCAAGTAAAATTCCAATTTTGAGTTATTATCGTTTGCCATTGTGTGAGTTGCCTTCCCTTTGGAATGCTTCTCTGTGTTGTCACTCTCTCTACCGTTCGCCGTCACCTTCGCGCCACCTTGATCTCGTACGTGCCGTGCCAATACTCTTCGCAACGTATCTATACTATCGTTTTCCTTGAAAACTAAATCGCCGTCTACTGAAGCTGCCTGCTGGAGCTTCTCAATTAATTGCGATTTCGATAGTTTATAAATCCACGATGTCGGCATTTATTAGACAACGCACTTTCCCTCGGTTATTTGCACTCTTTTTCTTATTAGCTTGCACTATGCGTTCACTATTTTTCCTCGTCGCCAAAATTGTTATGTCTTGAGGTGGCGGGTAAGACTATACACCGTTACACGCCGATACATCGACTTGTTTTGGTGACAGCTCAGCGGCAACTGCCTTATACTGGTTATTCGAGGTGTAGGATAACAACAACGTCGATCACCTTGTCGACCTACCTATCGATACATTACAAGGTTCATGCCCAAGGCTGCTGAAATACTGACGCCATTGAACGACCTCCTGCAAGGAAACATAAAAAGAAAGGCGATGATATCGTAGACGGCGCAGGCTCAACAGGCATTCGAGGCATCAAAGGAAAATCTAGCCCAAGTGCACTTTTGAGACACCCCAGGATAAACGCGGAGCTCGCTTTGTTTACCGACGTGTCCGAACAAAGCATTAGCGCGACGTTACAACAACGAGGCAGTGACGGCTGGGAACCATTAGCGTTTTTTTCAAAAAGGCTAAGCCCAGCCGAAACAAAATACAGCGCGTTCGATCGAGAGCTGTTGGCAATTTACCTGGCGGTCAAGAACTTCCGGCACATGGTGGAAGCACGCACGTTCACGATATACACTAATCACAAGCCGATAGTCTACTCGTTCCGCCAGAAGTCCGAGAAGAGCACGCCGCGTCAGTTCCGTTACCTGGACTACATCGGGCAATTCACCACCGACTTTCGGCACGTGGCGGGCGTGGACAACGTCGTGGCCGACGCGCTGTCGAGAATCGAGGAGCTCAATTCCCCCTTGGATTACGCCGCGTTGGCCGAATCGCAGAAGAAGGACGAGGAGGTCGAGAAATACCTGCGGCGAGAGTTTGGGCTGAAACTCAGCAGGGTGGAGATTCCCGAAAGCGGGATAGAAATTTATTGCGACACGGCAACAACAACACCACGACCGTTCCTGACAAGGCCTTTTCGCCGGGCCGCATTTGACTTGATGCATAATTTGGCGCACCCAAGAATAAAGGCGACGGGCAAGCTCGTGGCACAACGCTACGTATGGCCGTCGACTGCCGTGACTGGGCTTGAGCAGGTGTGCCCTGCCAACGATCAAAGGTGTCGCGACACGTGTCGGCACCGCTCGGAATAATTGCTGCTCCATCCAGCAGGTTCGAGCATATCCACCTGAACATCATCTTAATGCCAGTCTCGGAGGGCAAACGGTATTGCCTGACGTGCGTGGATCGTTTCACACAATGGCCGGAGGCGTTCCCGTTACGAGACCAGGAGGCAGAAACGGTCGCGAGAGCCTTCTACGAGGGGTGGATCTGCCGATTTGGGGCGCCTCTTCGGATTACGACGGACCAGGGGCGCCAGTTCGAGTTCAGGCTTTTCCGGCGGTTCAGCGAGCTCACGGAAGCCTGACACATAAGGATGACGGCATACCATCCGCAGGCGAACGAAATGGTCGAGCGATTCCACCGACAGCTCAAACCAGCGATTAAATGCCAGCAGAACGACCGCTGGACCGAGGTGCTGCCGACGGTGTTGCTCGGGATCCGAGCAGCCTGGAAGGACGACATGCGGACGACCGCAGCCGAGATGGTATATGGCCAAACATTTAGAATTCCGGGGCAGTTCCTGAATCGACGACCGACGGAGGACGAGGACGACGCCGCCGACTTTGTCGGAAAGCTGCGGGAGCAGTTCGAGAAGTTACGACCCACGGATGGGATCCGGCACGGAGAACAACGACCATTCGTCTACAAAGACTTGGCGACGGCCGAGCAAGTATTCGTGCGACACGACAGGCCGAGTACGATGTTGCAGGCGCCGTATGAGAGACCATACGCGGTCGTCAGCCGCAGCGAGAAAATCTTTGTTGTGCGCATGCACGGCAAAGAGAAAACGGTCTCGATAGACCGGTTAAAACCTGCTTGTATTTTGCAGCACGAGGCAGAGAACAGCAGCTCGGCAGAGGCGGCGACACGGAGCCGAGAAGGTGCGGTCGACGGACGGGGAACGCGCGAGGACACGGAGATGCCACGTCGAGAGGACAGGACGACGACGAGAGCGGGAAGGAAAATTCGTTTCCCGAGTCGTTTCCAGGCGGGCTTGTGACACCGAGGAACCAGGACGTGGATCGCCAAACTTCTGAGAAATTGCCTCGAAAGTAAAAAATAAAAAAAACGAGTTATATATACTTTTCGCGATTTTAATTTTTTTGATTTTTTGTTCTCGATGAAATTTGTATATAGTATGATTGACATGAGTCGCGGAACACGAAAGAAGAAACAAAAACGAATTCGATGCGTATTAGAAAATTTGTATATATATTCTGCGTTTTTTTAAAGGTTAATTGACGAGAGTCTCAGACTGGGAGCGACGTACGTTCGGGCAGACAGAACGATAAATACATTGAGATTCTTTAATGTATAGTATGGTAGATCATCGATATGTATCATTACATCATTATTACGTCATATTTATTCTTGTTCTTTGGCGCTTCGAATTTATCATATAACGGCGAGCAAAAATTTTAGCAGTCGTCTCTGTCTGCCATCGGGGAAAAACTATCGCGGAAACCGTGCAATTTTCGAGCGGATATCGTACTATCGGTATAGTACTGGCGGGGAAGTAATGTGGCGATTACATCGTTACATACTTCCCGAAAAGTAACGAGCGAAAATACTTATACGAATACGGCCACACACATGCGAAAAGTACCGCGAGATTCAAATAAATATAAATAAAAACATAACAGACGAGACAGAGAGAGACGAAAGACGAGAAGCACAGAGACAAATATTAAGACGTGTGACGTGGTCTTTTTGAGCCAGTCACAAGGGCGGACGCGCCCGGCCGGGAAGCGTCTGAGAGCGTTCTGAATTTTGCGTTTTGTACGGGTGAGCAGCGACCTTTTCGCTGGCTCGTCCTTACTCGGTAGCGGGAGTCGAGGTGGTGAGCCAGGAGAGCTTACATTGTTTTAGAAAGAAGAGGACCCAGGCGAACAGAGGAGGGACGACCCCGGACAGGGAGGAACGGAGACTGAGCGACCGGCCCGGTGAGTAGTAAAGAGCATTCAGGTATACGCGGTACCGAGAATATAAGAATGAGATACCGCAAGCAAAATCCTTACAGCCCCGGATAGATGAACCTAAGCGGTCCGGAACAGGAACGGAAAGGCGCCTGCATCCCTCCACAAGGATGATCAACCCTGAGGGGCCCGCCACCACACGTCGAAGGGAACGCGGAGATCGCCCGGGACCGATCACCCCGGGACGATCTCCTCCAGCGGAGAAAAGCTGTCAAGAACACCCTCAAGCAGCCATACGAGGTGTGAACGGGACCGCCAATAACGACGTCGTCACTACCGAGGGTTGGGATTCGAACTTGGCGGCAGGAAGGCCGCGACCAGCCGCGACAGACGGAGATCGATACAAGGATCGATTCCGGGCCTGGGGTGGCGCGCAGTGTCTCCCCCTCCCCCAGCGTACCTCCCGAGGTCCTGCCGGCCCGAGGCGAAGTCACTGTTCGGCGAGCCGGTATCCTGAGAGCACGGAGACGACGACCCGCATCGAGCCACTGCGACGCATTATTGTAAGGCGACCTCCTCGATCTTCCGGTAAGCGCGAATTCGGCAGAGACCCGTGGGTTATTAGAATATTGTCGCGATACCGAGCAATTGTGCTCGTAGTAATTTATTGAAAAAAATACCGAGAATTTGTTGGAAGACTCACGGGACTCGCATCGATTTCCGCGTAATTACGTTTTTTGCGCATCTTTTTGCCTTCTTCGCCTCTCTGAGGGGCACCGAAACGAGTCGACAGTCACTTTGTTATCGTATCCATATTGTAAGATTATATTGAGCCATTTAGTACCGAGTTTTCAAAATAAATTTCGCTGGATTAATGTATGGCGTTTACGATTCCGAGCGGACTACGAAAGGAGAAGAATAACAATAATTAGATAATTAGAGAAAACCCAGCGACCTCCTCCAAGCTTGACGATTATATTATATCAACGCCTTGTTTATATACACTATTAATTGGAAATATACTATTATTATTTTATCTTATATTTGGTCGTAGTTTATGTCGATATTTCCTCTCTCTCTCTCTCCGAGACTGCGATTCCGACTCTCCTTGCGGAAAGAACCCCGACACTCTACCCCCTGTTGATACCGAGCTTCCGACGCTGAGCCGTCGAGGGGATTCCAGACGAGAGACAAAAAGATCAAGCACGCATCCAGCGATTTGCAGCCGCGGATGGACTATTGGAGGCATTCGAGAGGGTAACCTTACGAGACCGAGGTATATCCAACGCATCAAGGTCAACGAGAACAGAGAAGCGAGTCAGCGACCAGAGAAGAAGTGAGCGAAGAGAAACCGCAAACGGTAGCGAGAATAGGAGGTTCGCGGGTAAAATCGCGTATTGTTTTAATTGTGGCGAACGTGATTATTTAGGCATAAATTGTCCGACTAAAGAGCAAGACGTTAAGTGCTTTTAATGCGGAGAGCGGGGGCATATCGCGTCGAGGTGCGTTAAGAGGACAAAAGCGGGTAAAGAGAGCTGCGCGATATCGGGGGCTTCGCATCGTAAATATCTTAAGAATGTTTTTCTTAACGATCGTGAGATAGAGGCATTGATCGATTCGGGAAGCGACTTTAGTTTGATCCGCGCGGACGAATACATCAAGCTCGGTTCTTCGTGTTTGCACGCGGTTGTAGCAAGCTGTTATTCGATGGCGTAGGTTCAAATAATAACACAACATTGGGAAAATTCCAAGCCGAGCTCAGAGTTGAAGGGCATTCATATTCGGTTTGTATACATGTCGTGTCAGATACGATGCTTCGACACAAATTATTACTGGGAACGGATTTCTTAAATTTGACCGATGTTAATATCAGGGGCGGCGATATGACTATCCGTCCGTTGGCACAGATAACGCGCGAAGTGGTAGAGCGTGCGAGCGTCGAGTCTGGGGCAGTGAGCGATGTGGCGGGATGTGAGAGTACGCGCGACGTGGTGAGGCGCGCGAGCGTCGAGTCGGAGGTGGCGAGCGATGTGGCAGAATGCGAGAATATGCCGGAGATACTTAAGATAGATGTAATTCGCGACGAAACGTGCGAAGCAAGTCACGTAAATGTTTCGCATGTCGAGGACTCTCAGCGGAGAAAAGCGATAGAAAAATTAATAAATAATTACAAGTCAGACAGAACCGGTGAGGCTGAGGTAACAATGAAACTCGTGCTTAGGGATGAGGAGCCGGTGCATCAGTCGGCAAAGCGCTTATCGGCGTTCGAGAGAACAGTAGTTAACGCGCAAATCGATCGGTGAATTGCGGATAGAAATGTGCGACTATCTGTTTTTGATTATGCGAGTCCGGTAGTTTTAGTTCAAAAGAAAGACGATACGTTTAGACTGTGCGTAGATTATCGGCTAATAAATAAGAAGATCAATAAAGACAGAGAGATATCCGCTGCCATTGATCGAGGACCAGCTGGATATGTTGCAGGGCGCGCGTGTTTTTAGTACGCTCGATCTGACGAACGGTTTCTTCCATGTACGGGTGGACAAATCGAGTCGGAAGTATACGGCATTTATTGTGCCCAATGGCCATTACGAATTTTTACGAGTTTCTTTCGGTCTCTGTAATTCGTCGGCGGTGTTCCAGAGATATGTGAATACAGTATTTAGAGATCTCATACGGGAAAGGATAGTTTTGGCATATATGGACGACTTGATTATACCATCCAGCGATGTCGAGAGTGGCATTAGAAATCTGGAAAGAGTGTTGGTAACGGCAAGCGAGGCAGGTCTGATGATCAATTGGAGTAAATGTTGCTTTTTGGAGACCACCGTTGAGTTTTTGGGTCACGTGATTTGTAACGGATGCGTTCGTTTGTCGGATCGTAAGACTGAGACGGTGCGACGTTTTCCATGTCCTGCGAGCGCAAAACAAGTGCACAGTTTTTTTGGTTTGAGCGGGTATTTCCGTAAATTTATCCCCGGATATTTCACGATTGCGAGGCCGTTAACGAATCTTTTGCGTGCGAATGTTGAATTTCATTTTGGAGCGGCTGAGAGAGACGCGTTTATGCGGTTTAAAATTATGTTAAGTGAGAATCCGATTCTGAGTCTGTATCGGGTCGAGGCGGAAACAGAATTACATACAGATGCCTCGGCGTTGGGGTATGGTGCGATTTTGCTCGAACGAAATAGCGACGATTAGCGCTTTCATCCTGTGTATTATTCTAGCGGGAAGACGACGCCTGCAGAGGCGAAATACAGTAGTTACGAGTTAGAGGTGTTAGCGATAATAAAGACATTAAAAAGGTTTCGCGTCTATTTGCTCGGTATCGCATTTACGATTGTTCGAAAAAGTGTATTATATTCTTAGTAAATATTATTTGAATTATTTCTCGACTTCTCGAAGTTTCCATAAGCTTCTATATTTTGAAAGGAAAGACTTATTTTCGTCAGTTTTTCTGATAATACGTCACTCGTCAAATACGAGATATTGTGACAAACATCTAGTTCTCGCTTTCCGATTGGTTCGATTCATTTTGACTTTGTGTCGCGTATAGTGAGAAATTAACGATCGCGAGGCACTTAGAGGTCAGCTTTCGTCGGGAGCATTACGTACTTGTTGCTACATATTCTGTACACATATATAGTCAACTCTTTAAGTCAGACGGTCCGCGAATTCGGAGGAAGTTTATAAAATAAAGAAGAATTCATAATTGAAAGTTAATTTTGCTATAAGTTGTCTCTCCTTACTTTCCTTCTCGGCGAACAAAAAAAACTTTAAGGTGATGTGACTGCAAAGGATCGGAGCTACACGTTACACATTGGTCCTTCGAGCCGGATATAAGGAAAAGGAGGCAACTATTCTCTCGCGTGCAACAGCCTGACGAGTGAGAGAGACTACATGTGCGTAAAGCGTATAACGGGTGTAATTATACATTCCACAGTTGTACAGGGCCGACATTGCAGTACAATACGCAGTGACTTAAAACAGTGAAAGTGAAAATCATAATCAGGCTCATTACACCATCTCGACTCAAGGGTACTTCATCTCCCGACCAAATTATTATATCGTCAATTTATAACGCACC